ATTATGTTTACTACTAAAATTAATATTCATCAACCATTATGGTGGACCACTTTGTTAGCTACCAACCTTTACATAATATGAATATTAAATTAACTAGTAACTAATTTATTATTATCATTAATTATTTCTACTACAAAATTAATATTCATCAATCATTATGATTGGGCCACTTTGACAGCTACCAACCCTCACATAATATGAATATTAAATTAGACAGTAATTAATTCATTATTAAGTTAATCATTTAACATTATACACACAGACTAATACTAATCGATCCAAATTTAGGTAGGTTAGATCCCAGAAACTTAATAGTCCAGAAATTATATGTTTTATATATACCTAATAAAACATATAATTTTTATTTTCAGACTTAAAGATCATAATTGAATCAATCTAAAATTGATTCTCCATTATGTATGTATGTTTGGGTACAAAATAATAATTTATTTCAATAAAGTCAAATTTTTAGACTCACACATTATTCTAAAAATTTTAATTTGTAATAAAATAAATAAATACACATGCTTTATGTATTTAATAATTTTTTAATTTTTAAAAAATTAAAATTAGAACACTCATTGCTTGAAAAGTCAGTCAACTAAGCAAATATTTAATAGACATTCGGATATTCATGGTCACTTGTATATGGTTATAACTAAAGCATGAATAATATATATATATATATATATATATATATATATATATATCAATTATATATACATATGTACACACAGGGCACATGTATCAGTTACTTCCAAGTGAAAGTAAGTTAACTTTCACGCAATTCATTAGGCTCAAAAATTGAGAAACGCAAACCGAAATTGTTTGGTCCAAACCAAACTGATTAATATAATAGTAAAATTACAGTACTATATTTCTAGTTCTTTCCGGGGTCACATATATTAGAGGACATACTTATAACAACAATTAAAACATACCTAGCGTGTGTCCATATATATGTGTGTGTAGCGATTCCAGACAACTAGATTATACAAATTTTATCTTAAATTTATACATATTATTAATGCAAAATTATAGGAAAAAAAAAATGAGTTTGTAAACCATAAGCTCTGATATTACGTATAAATTATAATTTATTCATGCAAACTATTCATCACAAATTAATAAACACGAATCTCAAATCTTAGAACTTCATTATTCTCACATACATATAGTGCATAAATAAATATAGTTAGATATAAATACCTCGATTTGTGATTGCAAATATCGTAGAGATCAAGTCCAACGTCGAGATCCTTCCTGCGAAGCAATAGTTAAAGCGTGAAAACCGATTTATCTCTCTTGGCCTTTTGTATACATAAACATTATACGTATTGTTTTCATTAAAGTACATAATTAATGGGAATATGTACTTTTATAAAAGAAGAGAGATGATTAGTTTTCCTTTTAGTAACTTTACTTCCACTTTCCATCAAAGTAAGGAATAAATAGGAAAACACTTCTTCAATAATTAGTTACTAAAAAGGTAATTTATAAGTAGACCAAATAATATAATATTAATCTGATATCTATTTTATTTAACCACTAAATAATAAAAATAAATCACATAAATATAAAAAAATATCTTACAATACGAGTTCAAATGCCATAGGTCTACCCACCGAAAGCGTAGAATAAAATATTCTTGACATTTTTCAATCTCTAACCATTTTCTATGTACTTTTGTATTCATTACATTACATTAATTTACTTTAAATGAGACACACACATAAGCACATGCATGTTTATGTCAACAGAATGACATTCTTATCATACCATTGTTATAATCAACATTTTACACGCAAATGATTTGCGTGACCTTTGTCATAATCAATATTTCTACTTTAGCAAAGTCATTATCTTATTACATATATATATATTTTTTTAATTTTGGAGGGCTTAATGAATTGGGCAACTTTAACATTACTCATTTTGAAAGATTAAAGCAAGATTTGACAATTATTAGAAACGATGCCATATTTCTACTATCCTCATCCTAGTGTAAAATGCTCTTACCAATATGAATTCAAACTACAATCTACAATAACCTGATTTTTCTTGGAAAATATCCAACACAAAAGTCATTCTCAAGAAACAGAAATATATTTCAACGCAGAAATGACTAAACAAAATCAAAGAGGAAAAGGAAAGACGAAGAAAGATTCGGTGGGTGAGATTTCCATGTCAATGTAATCTATAAGATTATAGATTAGATGAATAAATACAAAATATACTTGTATCAATATATAGATTACATTTGAAATAACGTCCATTTATAAGAAGGGTCCAAGCTGGTATAAATACAATATCAAATACGTCAATCTCATGGGTATTAAATTATTGTCACGGTCCCATTATGACTCAATCGTGGCCGTCCAATCAACAAAATTCAAAAAAATCACATATAAATTTAAAGAAATTCAAGGACCAATAACCACCATTAACGGCAGGATCAATGGGATTTTATTTTATTCAATGAGGGGCAGACGGTTCTAATAGAAAGATCATTTGGGACCCACCTCTGCCGACAAATTCATTTTTCTTTGTGATTTATTGACGTTACAAGCCATACAAATTAATTATGTGATTTATATCTCAAGAGATGGATGGGTTAATCAAATTTGCTCCCCAAAGTCTACTGAGAAATTTGCAATGCTGTCGTTATTGTAAGATATGAAAGGGTAATCAAATCAAATTTCACTCGGGAAGTGCAGTTTCCACGTATAGCTTTCAAGTTCTCTTTAAACTATTTTGTAATTTTTATTATTCTTAAATTATTTTTACAAAATATAATAAAGTCTTTCAAGTTTTGAATGGAATAGATATTTTTTTTCAACCATTTCCTTATTTGATATAATATTTAAAGTGAGAAGTATCATTCCTTTCATTTCACGTCTGAACTGATGGAATAAAAATTCATTACAACGAATGAAATTCTTGACCACTGTCACCGTCTTCTATCACCATTCACCATCGCCACCACTGCCACTGCCATTCGCCGCCACCATCACATTTTGCCATCTCTACCTTCCACCGTCATCGCCTTCAACCACCACCACTTAGAATTGTGATTAACATTTCATTTTTATACCATTTCATATATGCAATCAAATAAAAAAATGAGAATAACCCCCCATCCCATTCTCATTTCATTGAAAGAACCACTAAATTATAGCACTTATTAGTAATTAAATACTTTACTAACTAATTAAGCCACATCCCCGTATTTAATCATAATGTCAAGGGAACGGATATTCACTTTTTTACACTTTTTAAATCATTAACATTTATTTACAAGTTTTTTTTTTTTTTTTTTTTCTTTTTCTGGTAAGTAAATTTTTTACAAGTTGTTTAATGCTTCATTTGGTAGGAATGATGAAAATTAGATCGAAGGGAGAGAAGAAGAGCTAAATGGAACATTCTTAGGGAATAGATTACGTCTTTCCCTCTTTCGGTTTGGTTGGATGGAAGAGAAAAGAGTAAGATAATACCTTATGTAAATTAATTCTTGGACCGAATAGTTACATTGAATTGTTAGACATACTCTTTTAATTGATCAATTATGTATAACAAATAATGGAATAGAGTCCTCTACTTAGTTATTTTTGGTATAAATAGCCCATTAAAAATTATTTAGTTAAGTAATTTACTGCAAGTGTTCAATATGATTATCACTACTCATCTTATTTTGTTTGTTAAGAAAGAAGAAAAGGGAAAATGTATAAGCAAAGTTTTGTAATTAAAAAACATTTATAATAGCTTCACTATTGTTCCTTCGTCTCTTTTGTCTATATTCGACAAGATGAAACTAAAGCAATTTTTTTCTTTCTTCCTATTTTTCTTCCACACCCTCTTCCTTCCTTAGTACTAAAACAGAGCATAAATATATTATTTAATTTACTGAATAAAGAAGCAAAAGAAACATAATAGGTTTTTTTTTTTTTTTTTTAAGTTAAAACAAGTAACTGATGGAGTGAGAATTTGAACCTGAGCTGATCAGGAGATGGCACATGCCTGGACTTTCACACCACGTCCAAATATAATAGTTACTATAACTATATTCCGGGCACTGATTAAGGATATATAAAAGTAGCCGTTCAAATCACCAAGTATGACCCATGGGAGAGAAGTAAACAGAGTAAAGTGTTTTTTAATGCTGTCCCAGTGTTCCATTCTTTCTATGTCATCATTAGCTCCATAGACAATTGAGGCAAAAAAAATTTAGTGTTGTCAGAGATAGTGGTCACTGCACAATGAATCACTTGTCTATTTGCCTTGATATAACAGCTCCACCTTGAGCATGTCAGGATTCCACAAAATTCATATCCTTCCCAAGTTTGAGAAGCCATAGTTGTGTAGGATAGGAGAAATTATTATACGATTCTGGATCATTAATATTTGGTTAACTAGTTAAATATAGATTTTAAGATTGAAAAAATGATTTCACAAGAATGTATTAATAAATTACTAAGTTTTATAATTAGAGGGTTCTCATTGAATTAGTCCATCAAGTGTTAAATTAGATCAAAACTATCTTGTAATTTCTCGTAGGACAGACCATTCAGGGAAGATGAACCTATGTATTTGATTAATATTATTAGGGGCACTTTTGTTTCCAGAACATAATAGTTACTATGGCTATATTCCGGGCACTGATTAAGGATATATACAAGTAGCCTTTCAAATGTATTTTGTTTTTTTGTACAAGTTTCTTTGTTTGAAAAATTGAAAAGATACCATTCATCTACCTACGGTTTTCCATATATTGCACTTATGGTTAGCCTCAGCTTATATAAGAGCCAAAAACTTATGCAACTGCAATCGTAAAGAAACAAAAATGGAAAAGCTTCCTAATATATATATACATATATATAAATAAATAAATAAATAAAAACAAAATGGTGAACACGGAGTGATAGCAACAGAGCACATGTTCTACATCTATAAATACCATTGATCATTAATTCCGATTATACATACTCATTTAAGTTTGCAAAACACTTTATCTTTGGGTAGTGACGAGTGAGAGTTTAGCAATTAATTAATGGCCATTTCATATTACTCATCTTTGTCCCATTTCTTCTTCCTCTTCTTTTTTTGCTTCTCCAAGTTTTGCTTCTGCTTCAACCCCAAACACTTGAACTTGTCAACTGGGGCAACCCATTGGTCACCTGCTGGTGCAACTTGGTATGGCCCTCCCAATGGTGCTGGAAGTGATGGTAATGTAGAGAAAGATAGTTTCTTATGTTACATTCGAATAGTTGCAGTGAATTGTCAGACCTACTGATCATCTATTCAAGAAATAACCAATCAAAACCTTTAGGTTAGGCAATTCACGGCAACTCTTCGACCTAAATTTCGTTGTACTCATTTACACATGTTGTGTTTGGGAGTAACGAATTAGCGTCTTGAGTGAAATTTGAATCGGATGAAATTTATTTTAAAGATGCTCTCAAACATTACATTAATATTGATTAATGATTTTTTTAATAATTGATAAATATATGATATTTATATATACATTCATGGAATGATGCAGGAGGAGCTTGTGGGTATGGAAGCACAGTGTCACAATCTCCTTTTGCTTCCATGATAACAGCAGCAGGCCCTTCTCTTTACAAATCTGGCGAAGAGTGTGGAGCTTGTTACCAGGTAGAAAAATAGGTTCACCAAGGTGGTTGCATTGTATGAAGCACCATTAATGAGTACTTCTAAAAGGAAGTCCTATCTCTATACCATTTAAATTATATATATATATATATATATATATATATATATATATATATAAATGATGTGTGATTTGCGGGTGGATGATTACACATTTTCGGAATTTGCATATTATGCAAGAGTTCAAAGTGACTAACGGGTGAGTTAATTATTCATTAAAAATTAATAATAATAAATAAAATATTGCTTTCCCAAGTATAATATTACACTATTAGGAAAAGCACTCTAGAAGAGTTAGAAAGATTGAACATTTTTTTATAAAAAGAATAATTGAGTTATAGTGAGAAAATACATGTCTAATTAATTAAGTCAAAAGTTTACGCCCATAGGACATAACTCATAGCTTATTGTTATGTCTAATATTTAATAAATGAATTTGGTGCTTATACATTCCGAGGTGATTTGGATATCCCATTTCGTTGTACATGCTTTATATGTTACACTCTACTGTGTCGCTCACAATAGTTTATATATATTAACTACTTCTATTGATTAATTTAAAAGTTTAATATCGCCAAGGTTCTAGCCTAGTGGTCCCCTTAAAAAATTTATGGGTGAAACAATAAGAAAATCTAAATATGTTCAACGAAATTCATTGATAAGATAAATTAATTAATTTGGTGCTTGATATACATTCTGAGATGATACAAAAATTGTCTATTTATTAGATAAAATGTACCACACACCCATCTTGTTCCGGCAAGCCAGTGAGGGTGGTCATAACAGATTCATGCCCGGGAGGTCCCTGCTTGACTGAATCGGCTCATTTTGATCTTAGTGGAACTTCATTTGGTGCCATGGCAATTCCCGGCCAAGAATACAAACTTCGTGATGCCGGAGTTCTGCAAATTAGTTATGCACGGTAAGCTTAACTTTTAACTTTATTTTCGGAAAATAATTTTTTTTTTTTTTTTTTTTTTTTTTTTTTTTTTTTTTTTTTTTTTCAGTTCTCTCAAAACAAAAAAACAAAACTGGAACCAAAAAGACCCATAATCTTGAAAGAAAAAAAAAATTTGTACCACTATTTTCTTGTAGTGAATTAATAATTAAAAAAAGTAACATTGTTTTGTTCTAGTGTTGCATGTGATTATTCAGGAAAGACCATAGTGTTCCACGTTGATCAGGGGTCTAATCCTGAGTACTTGGCGGTGGTGGTGGAATTCGAAGGAGGAGATGGTGATCTTGCTGGTGTTGATCTGAAGGAGGCGTCGAGAGGGACAGGTGAGTGGAGGGCAATGCGACGATCATGGGGTGCTGTTTGGAAGCTCGACGCCGGTTCAGCATTACAACCACCACTTTCTATCAGATTAAAATCGCAGTACTCTGGCCAGACCCTAGTGGCAAGTGATGTGATACCATCTGGGTGGAAGCCTGGTGCAACTTATCGATCCATGGTTAACTACTAATTTAGTATACACTTCTTATCTGATGATATGGTTGCTGCTACTTTACTTCCCTCTATAGCTTTTGTGTTATATCAATGGCTTTATGTGATATATCAATGATTGTGAGCGTGCATGGTCTTATTATATATTTTTTTTAAGTAATAAGAATATGTAAGCTATAGTATTTAAATGGTATTGTTGTCACTCTTCTATTTTAAGTACAATATAATCGTGGACTGTGAACCCTCTATTTTTTATTTTATTATTATTATTATTATTTTTTGGATGTGAATGACCAAGCACTTGAACTGCCACTTGATGATATATATATATGGATGTTAATATGTAGTGATTGACGGATAATTATTGGAGGCGGTGACTTGAACAATGGTTACAGTGTGATGAAAAATTTTCAACTATCATAATAAATAAAAGAACTGCAAAACTAATTAATATATATATATATATATATATTTTTTTTTATTGACACCCCATTTTTGCCCTCCCCCTTTCATTTTACCAATCACATGAATCTCGAGAAAGAATAGCGTTTTCATCCCCCGAGACCATTCCCCCAGTACGTCCGATCGGATATTGGATTTCACCATCACACTTTGAACATTACGAAACCATAGGAAATACCTCGATCGACCACATCACACGCTTTCTGGCACTCAATCATCAATTCCCCAGAAAGGGCAAAATTGAGACTTTACACTACAACTTTGTCATCCGATTGTCGGAATGACAAACGGACTTCACCATTGAGTCCAAAGCACCCAAAAACCCTAGAGGACACCTCATCTCGAGGTCTTTACCTTTTTCCATCATGTAGTTTGTCCAAACCTCTCGGTGGGGCTCGAACGGTCAACCACGACTTTGACTTTTCACAACGATGGTCAAACTCACCTGCTTAACTTACCATTGTGCTTAGAAGGTCCGAAAAACTTAAAAAGCACTATAATTTTGCTAATCTTCTAGCCCGGGGCTATCTTTAACCAAGTCTCTACGGTAAAGGCCAAATGATAATTTGACTTTTCCAACAAAGAGCCAAATAGATAAACGGACATTGCCAATGGATCTAGAGGTCCAAAAAAACTTAGAAACCATTACAATATTGGCTATATTTCAGTCCGGGGGGCCCTTTGACCTAATTTCCACTCCTAGTGGTAAATCAGTCAATTCACCACTGTGTAGATGATTTCCAGTCCTCAGAAAAGAACAAAGAATGCCACATCATATGTGTGACATTAACGCGCAACATTTCCTAAAAATTCTTTACTCCCTCCATCTTCAGTACCTATTAGCTCTCCATCCTTGGATCATTTGGTACTTTTTGGGAAATTGCACTTTGGACTAATTAAGGAAATTGCACTTTGGTCCTCTTTAATTTGCTCTTTTGTCCATTGAAAATTAGAGTTTAGTCCCTCTTTTGCCTATAAATATGAACCTTCTTCTTCATTTTTAAAGGCTCACAATCTTTTATTAATTCATTAGTTAGTAGAAAGTATCTATCTCTCTCTTTATATATATAATACACACCAAGAACACACACCAAATCTCTACACCTTTCTCACTCTACCACACATACCTTGTGATACCCCTTGATTTCTAGGTCGTAGGTTGATCAAGTCCAAGCCCAAAAGCTAGGGGATATCAAATAATTAATATTTTAAATCGAACACAGAATACAAAGAGATAAATAAATAAAGAAATAATATCGCTAAAAGAAAAACTAATAAATAAAATCCTCTGAACAAAATCCATTAATCCTCAAAGATGAATAAATAAAATCTCATAAAAATAATTCTCCAAAAAAATACAACTCGGGAATCCTCAAACATGGACCCCGATATAAAATCTCATAATTGAAATAAATAAATGTCTAAATACTGAAATAACTAATTAGAAGATAGAATCATACGTTGATAACACCGGAAGAGTGATGATGCCAAATCTCTGATCTGCATGAGTAACTGCTAATACTGCTACTAACGAGGACCTGAAAAATATAACAATGGTGGGTCAAAACCCTTAACAAGTTCTTTCTACGACAACTCAAATAGAGACCCAAAAAAACTACACATCTATAGCTAACTCATGCAATAGCTGCATAGTCAATAAGTATATAAATAAATATACACACTAAAGACCCTCACTAAATTAAGGCAGCCTCAACCGTGTAGTGGGTATCATGCAAATCGCACACAAAGGTGGTCACGAGTCCTCCTTCTACCAGGGTACACACATCCCTAATTCAGCTACCCATCTCACTCAGCAATATACACCTCAATCCTAACCACTGATCCCAAAACGTCAAGCTTGTATCGTGGTACACATAATATCATTATAGATATAATTAACCATATCATGACAATGGTTAACAGATAACAACCACGCCTATAACTTAACAATAGGCTAGAAGTTATAAAAATAAATAAAAGGCATATCCCAACAATGGCATGTCATCCATATCCTCACAATAGCCTGACATAAAATGAGTCTAAACTTATTAGCCAGCTCATCCACAAAATGCCCCCATACCCTGACAATGGTGCATACATAGAACCAAATCCCGACATTGATCCTCAAACAAATCCAAACATATATATATAAGGCTTCAAGATTATAAAATACAGATATGAAATTGATTATAATCATATCATATCATAATATCATGTACATTATCAAATCATAGAAATGACCTATAATTTATTTAAGTTTCCTATATCATGTATCTCACATAAACTGAATCTTAAGCATGCTGATATTTTATTTTACAGCCAAGTAAGAATTCTCCAAATACATCTCCTGCTAAATATTTAATCTTAATTGTTAAAACAAATTAAAAGATTAAAATCATAAATTCTTTATTAATAAATTTAAATTGCATGCATCGTTGTATTGCACACTTTTCATGCTTGTCCACACACATTTTTCATTCACATTGTCCATGTCATGTTCTTAGACTTAGAAGAGACTAAACTTAGTTTTTGGACCATTTGGTATGCATGTATAAGACCTAAATGGAGTCAATGGCCTTGAACCGTAAAAAATGCCATTTTGGAGCCTTTCCTAACCTTCTACCCAAGCAACACCCATTGCGCTGCATTTTTTCGTTCGCGGAAGGAATACTGCCCAAGCATAACTGATTGCTTAAACCGGTTGTGCTACATTTTTTTGTTCACAGATGGAATACTGCCCAAGCGAAACTGGTTAATTGCTTAAAATGCAACCGGTTGCACTTTCTGACCATCTTCCTATTCTGACATGGTGACTTCAAACAACTATATCTCATTCGTTTTAAATACAAATTAGATCAAATTTGTGCTCAAACTGACGATATCTTTTTTTTCCTAGTTAGTACTCACACACACATGTCTCTTTTGAGACTTGAACCCCTGACCTCCCTTTGGGAGGTAAGAAGCCGATACCGCTAGGCCACTGGCCCATTGGTCAAACTAAAGATATTGAAGTAAGCTTTCCAATGGTACTAGTCTTACTCCAAAATTCCAAACACAAAAAGAGTTATACTATATTTGTGAGGACCGGTCATGAAATTCCTTAGGTTAAGAATGCTTATTTGTGAGGAAACTATTCCTCTAATGTCTAGAACCGTATTACAAGTTTTTAAATGTTTAGTATGACTTAAATGGATTTCACTTGACTTGTTTAGAGTCGAATTACCTTCTCTCCTTGCCTTGGTCCGTTGTATGTCCATGTGATCAAAGTAGGCTAAGTTGACTTTGACTTTGTTGTTTCGCTAAACATTTATTTTTCACATGTTCTTGGAATGCATGTGGAATCATTTTTGTGTCGATGATTTCTTATTCATGGTCATATTATGCAGATGGGCTAATTGGATTTTAGCTTTCGTATTTGGGACTCGGGCTTCGTGCCTGGTTTCCTTGGGGTTTGGGGCGTGACAAACCCAATAAGGAGGATCAAATTAATCTTTTTATGTTTTTTTAATGTTCTATTATTGAGGTATGGTCCCTATGTAATTATCCTAGATGGCATAGGAAAACTGCATAAATGGATAAGAGTTGGATATAGCTTCCCACTAAGATTTCTCCGCAATATCTAAAAGGACTTAAAGAATTTATTCAGTTGGCACGTGGTCATACTGACAGTCTCAATGGGGTCCGGTGTCCATGTCGTAAATGCGTAAATATGATATTGATGAAAATGACAGAGCTAGAGAATCATATGTATAATTATGGGATGTACAAGCGTTACACTCATTTAGTAAGGCATGGAGAGGGCATTCAACAAACAAATAATGATCACATTGATCATTGTGGTGATGATGCTATTATGGATGATGAAGATGATGATATATTGATGAGGTATATGAATTTTTGGAAGATAACACACTAGAAAAACCATGCAAAGGGATTTGCCAGATGTACAAGGGAAGCATCATCCAGTGATGCTTCCACTTTTCCAAAAGGGGAAAAGCGAGAGAAGATAGCTTTGAATGTTTGTCCAATAGCACTTGACTTTAGTATTATTCCCTTGATTACTGTAGAAAGATTGATGGTAGATCAACAAGCACTCTATGAAGGTTTTGATCCCTTTAAGCGTGATCTCCTCATCTTTTTCTTCAAATCTGAAATTTTAAAGTAGAAAAACAATACTGCTTTGATGACCGGTAGCAATAAATTTTCAATGAAAATGAACTCTGATCACAAAGAGAAACACATCCTAAATAACTTGTGTGAGTAGTACCTATGTTCTCAAACTAAAAAATACAATCTCTGCAAAAACTCTCAAAGGCTCTTTTAGGGTTTGAAAATAAAGCTTGTTTGTATAACCTTGTCAAAAAGGTAATTGAATTGGTCTTTAAAAGAACTTTCCATTATGGTTCGAGCAAACAGAACCAATTCTGCAAACAATACTGCTATCATGCAGAAAATTTTATTATTAGGAAGTATGTACAACACAGCCATCATGCATATGCAATAATATGATTAAATTATGGGAATTAAGTTGATGCCGAATTATACCTTCCTATATATATATATATATGAATTGTCTATTTACTAGGTAAAATGTACCACATACCGATCATGTTCAGGCAAGCCGATCAGGGTGGTCATAACAGATTATTGCCCCGGAGGTCCCTGCGTGTCAGAATCAGGACATTTTGATTATAGTGAAACTGCATTTGGAGCCATGGCAATTCATGGCCAAGAAGACACTTCGTCACACTGGAGTTGTGAAAATCGATTATGCACGGTAATCCAATCTCTAAATTAAACCAAAACTTATATATATAATTATATATATATACACACACACACACAATTGATATCTTGGATACTGGTGAGCAATGAATTTATCTACATTAGATATTATTATTATTATGTTTTTTTTAAATAAGTGTTTAGATTACAAATTTAATCTTTTACCTACTACCTAAGTTTCTTGCACACTACACCTTACACCTACCATATTACAATTTATAGGTTACTTATTCACCACTCACCTACTCCCAACCTTATCCTATTTATAGACCCTATTTTACTACTTACACACAATGCAATACATATATTTATCTCTCTCAATATTTCTAACAGTAAGTACCTTGTATGACATTTGGATTAGGGCTGATCATGGTTCGGATGTCTCAACGGATTGGCAAATTGTAAAACCAAACCGATCCGTGTGAATACTCAAACCGAATCGAGCCGATCCGTGGAATAACGGATTGGATCGGTTCGGTTTTATGGATTGCACATTTTCAATAGATCGGAGGTCGACGATGTTGTCGTGAGTATAGAAGGAAGAAGATTTGTTGAAGAAGAAAGAAGATTTGCCCTGTTGTGAAGTTGATTTACCAGAGAAGAAAGTAAATTTGTCGGAGAAGACATAGAAGAAAGAAGATTTGCCGGAGAAAAAAGGAGATCTGCTGTGCTCTAGCTTTGGCTGATGAGAGGCGACTCTCCTATGTGAGAGTGTGTACTATGAAATGAAAGAAACTGTTATGAAGTAGTGAAAATTTGGATATGTCACGCTTTTTTGTTTGTGTTTTTCCTGGTGTTCATTGTGACTATTAAAGAAAGACCATAGAGTTCAAAGTTGATCCGGGGTCCAACCCATAATATTTCTTGGCGGTGGTAGTGTTGTTTCAAGGTGGAGATGGTGATCTTGCCAGTGTGGATCTAAAGGAGGCCTTGAGTGGAGAAGACAAATGGAGGGCAATGCAACAATCATGGGGTGCAATTTGGAAGCTCAACGCCGGTGGGTCACTGATGGCGTTCGGCCCTCCTTTTCGGTGCACCATTATGTCAGATAAATTATTTAATACATCTTTTAATTTAGTGGTTAAATGCGGAGAACTCATGTAGTCTCTTAATATCATTACTATTAAACTAATTAAACATACAAATAGGTCAACTGTCAAGGGAGCAATATATTTTTTCTTCCCTCAAAAGAAAATCAACTTACTAAGACAAATCATGTTCTTGCAAAAATCATAGAGACTAGATTACATTTAAGGTACTTAGTAGGAACTAAATCCCACAAAGAATGATTCAATTCAATGACACCACCAATCTCCATGAATCTGAATTACTGCATCAACATTGATTCCTCTTGTCATCCCATTCGCACCTTTTCTTTTTTGCATAAGATAGACCAACTTCCAATGACAAGTGAAATTACAGGATGTATATTGTGAAGCGCATGATGAATATCTGAGTTCCATGCAATTTCACAATTTTAAGGTATCGATTCTTCAATTTCTTCTGATGTGCACGACGAATCAGAGCTAAGCTTCAGGCCTTTGCCATAAGCAGCAATTAGTAAAGCCTCAGCTCGGCCTGCAAGTATCAGAAAATCCAGTGGACATTAAAAATAGTGAAGAAAGGATATCCTGGTGAAAAACACTTTTTAAGACATTTGTTGCAGAAACTCCAACTTTAAAGGTTGTTCGCTTGTCATAAATAATGCTATTATGCAATTTTAACCCAATTTATATACAAAAGCTATGATAAGAGGACTGGTACAAGTCCAATATTCAGCCTTGTTACCAAAAAGTGGCTGCAGCAGGGTTTGGACCTGGGTTTTGAAGACAGCCCATGCTTTTACACGTGGGATGAACAAAGTAAAAATATAAAGTGAAGATAGGAAACCCATCACTTGTAATGATACCATTGTGGGGAAAAATTAAAAAATAAATAAAATAAAATACTCATGTCCTCTTCTTCACGAGGCAATGTTTAAATTCTGTCTACCAGACTGTCAAACAGGATAAGTCGAGTTTTGGGCACATTTTCTACTCACATGTGAACTATGTTTGAGGGTGATTACAATTTCTAGCCCTTTTTGCACAATTATGACAGATTGCATAGTGTGAGATTCCTAAGGTTTGAGAAAGTGTGTTTTAAGGAGGGTTGGTCGCTACGTAAGCGATGATGGAGTTTGTTTTAATGGAGACTTCTGAGACCTTTATATGGAACAATACAAAGATGTGAAACAGGAGGTATTGTATAATTTGGACATCCAATAACCAACACTTTTGCACCATTGTAGGAAACGAAGTTGCCATATCAGTTGTTGCTTTTTAAAAAATAAAAAATAAAAAATAATAAAAATAATAAAAGCTAGGAATCAGTAACAAGTTAGCTTGGCAAGATTTGCTGTGAACACTAAATTTAATACTCTTCGCAATTGTACACAAGTTTTAGCTATATAATGAACCTGAGAGAGCCGATATAAAAGGAAATATCTGCTCAAACAGTTAAGTTCTAGTTCTTTATTTTGACGGAATGAGAAAATGTTAGGTATAGGAAAAGGGTCCAGGACGTCAACGAACAGTGATACAACATTGTGAAATTACGTTGGCTGACCAAATTCCCCAAAGGGAGAAGAGGAATGGACTAATAAAAGAAGAGAAGAAAGGAAAAAAGAAGAATAGATTCTCCACAAGACCTGGACGTACCCTTATGTCTCATCAGCTAAGAATTTCGGATATATTCAGAACTTATTTAAACTAAAAATGAAGGGACTATTTCATTGAAAACAACAGTTTTTTGAGAAGTTCAAAAGAGTACTCTCTAAAGTCTAAACTTAGGTCTCTTATAACTCTTTTCACAGACCAATTTTTCAATTAAAACAAAATTTCAAAACTATTTTCTATCTTCAATTTCTCTGATAACAAAAACCTAATTTAAAAACTGAACTAAATATGCCCTAATAAGGAATAGTTATCTCTAAATGAGTTCTCAATTTAACCTAAAAAAAAAAAAACCATGTGTAGGCCAAGATAAAACCCCAAATTTCATAAAGCACTGAACCAGCATCATGTTGATAGAATTAAAACAAGTAACACCCATAAAACATTGGCTATCAGAATTTATATTGCAGGGAGTGGGTAACTGAAAAAAAACAAAATAAAGTTAAAAAGGAATAAACTATGAAGATAAATAAGATGGCCGAAAACCTTCAAAATGAAAAGTTCCAATTGTTTGAAATAGTGTAGGCTCGTCTAGAAGTTGTTAAAAGAACGTTGAAGAAAGCAAGTTGTTAGAGAGTGGGAAATAAAGAGGTTTCTGGTAGGTTCATCCAAATTCTGTCTTTTACGATTTGCTTTCATTTATGAAATTATGAAAGAGGTACTTTAAGCAAAGTTTTGTGAGCTTTCGGCTGAGCTGGATAAAAGAGTGGGGGTAACACATATTGATAAGCGCCGAATATTGCATATTCAAGCGCCCTTAATTGCATGGTTTAGTCTATTTAGCATGTTAATAAAGTGTGTTTCACATACTTTCTTGTTTATTTGTTATTTTCAGGGCTCATCTCTAAAATGGCGTAAAAGCAGATTTTTACGTGCTTTTTAATGAACAAGGTGTTTGGCGAGCTACGGAACCGGCAAAATGGACTGAAGTTTAAGATCACACTCAGCCTGGGAATGAGGTCAAGCCCGGGAAGCTAAGCAAGAAGGAGAAGTCAACCTTGAAGGATAAAGCTTGGCGTCCAGACGCACTCTCCAAGTGCATTTCTGGCGTCCGAACGCCCTTCATACATCGTGACCAACAATATTCAATTTGCAAAAGTTGAAATTCCAGTAGCCAGAAGAATTTGCATCCGAACGCTCAGACATGCGTCCAGACACCCAATGCCACAAGCCCCGTGAGCCAGAGGCCAGCGCGCGCCATGACAAGCCTATGGACACCTTGCGTCCGGACACAAACCTGCAAACTTTGAAATGATTTGAAATTTCAGTTATTTTTCTCTCTCCTCTCCACATGACTGCACGATTTTAAGGGCTTTTGAACCTAATTCTGCAAGAGGAGTTTATATACACATGTATCATGTTGTATCTTATATCATATATCATTTTAGAATTCAAATTTTGTAAGTTTCTAGAGAGAGAAAGTGAGGAAGAGCTAGGGTCCTTGAATGTTCTTGGGCGTGGCTGCCATAGAGCTGAAGACGGAGGCTTCCTCTTCAACCATTGGAGCTTCAACCACCACCAGGATGAGCTAAATCCCCTCCTAGTGGATTGAGGTAGCCTTGATCAAAGTAGTCATGTAGTCTTTATAATTTAATTTGGGGAATATTATTGTATGTGATGAGTTTCATGAATAAGAAGATGTATTTTCAATTTGTGTATTAATATTGAATTGATTTACAATCTGGGCAGAATATATATATGTATATATATGTATGTATGTATATATATGTATGTATGTATATATACCATGTAACTCTTGTCTTAGAGGCATGATTATATATTTATATTCTTGATAACTTTATATGTGACAATGAAGGTTGAGTTCATGAAATGGGATCATAGGCATGTAATGTATGAATTTAGATAGATTATGCTACACCCCTAGATTAACATAGTTAGGCAGATGGTCCATGCCAACCAAAGATAGTCTATGCTAGAAAATTGATTTCATGTGCTAAAACTTGTAATGTCAAGACCTTCATAGGCCATGCCTAGGGAAGATGGCTCATACCACATCGAGCCATGCCAACCACAGATGGGTTATGCTTAGTCTTGAATTACATGAATTTCTGGAAAATTGTTGTGGTTGTTTTATACTTCTACACTTTAGCATCGCATGTAAATGTTTCCCCAAGTTATTTACAATTAAGCATAATTACGAGGTCTTGGTGAACTCAATTCCCTAGCCTCCCTCTAATTGTTATTTTAATCTTTGAATTCAATTTATTTTTATTTAATTTATGCAAGTGACAAACAAACAAAACAACTCTTCAAACAATCTTTTGTGACATTAACAAACAAGAAATTAGTTTTTGAAACTTGATTGCCATAAGCTTCGCAATCTTCGTGGATTGATACCCCTACTTAGCCGCTTTCTCATAGTTGTTAAAGGCTCAAGGCGCACTAAGGCGCCAAAGGCCTCCTGGAGTCTAAGCGCAAGGCGCAGTATAAGGCGCGAGCCTGATCGAAGTAAGGCGCATGTAGATAATAATGCATATATTATTATATATATCCATAATCAAGCTGTAATTGTAGTTAATGTAAGTAATGAACCATAAATTTATATGTTTTTTGTCAAATATTTCATAAGGTTAAATAATACGGTATATGATATAGAACCTTTTAATTTAGTAGTCAATAAGTAAAAAAGAAAGTGATATGAATAAATGATTAAAAAATACAAGGCACACCTTTTTTGAGCCTGGAGCCTACTAAAAAGCGTGAGCCTGAGGGTTTTATGTGAGCCTGATTGAAGGGGCCTGACCTGAAGTAAGTTGAGGCGCTCTAGCTGAGCCTTGACGAGCCTGGGGCTTTTTTTGAGCCTAGGCGCGCTTTTAACAACTATGCGCTTTCTTAGTGAATTCGTGCTCTAGCTAGTGTGGTTTTATTATTGGAGCGCCCTAGCGGACCTACTACATATCCTCGTAGTTGGAACAATGCCCAACAAAATGAAAGCAAATCGTAATACTAGAATGGCCACTTTATCCTCTTCATCTCTACTCTTTCTAGACTACATCGTTGCTTGATCTAAATAAACCAACGACACAAGTTTCTGTATCCACTGTTGTCAGCCATGGTTCTTCGCCAGTTGAACTTTAGGATTGTGGCATCAATTCTGACGTAGAACAACTCACTCACGATTATCTGAGCATACCAAATCATCGCAAATCAAGGAGGCTGAAAAGGTAAGGATAATAGAAGAAATAAATAAATAAATAAGGAAAAGTCAAAAGGATATTTAGAGTATTTGCCAACAGAAGATATTATTCTCCATTACAAGAATTAAAGAAGATTCAGAAAATAAATAAGAAGATTTGGTGTAGTTGTCAACAATAGAAGATAGTATTCTCCATTGCAAGATTTAAGGAGAATTCTGCTCCATCAAATCTCAGATTTCCCCCCTTTAATATTATTTCAAGCTTTCTTTTTTTTTCTTTTTTTTTTGACTTGCCTATATAAAGGCAAGAGATGTAAGTCTACAGACATCATCATTATTAATATAATTTCAATTTCTCCCTTGTAAGTATGTTCTTTGTGAATTCAAGGGTTTAACCCTGTTCTTTATTGTTTCCGCTACGTTAGTTGGTATCAGAGCAAGGTTCCGAATCCAAGATTCACCTTTGTTTTCGATGGCCGGTTCACGAGATGAAAGTAACCCCTCCAGCGATGGTGATCGTAATGGAGTAGCTCTTTTGAGGGCTGAGTTTACTAAGTTCCAGACCAACATTAATCGAACCTTACTTGATATGCATGAAACTATGCGTCAAGTATTGGCGAGATTGACAACAGAAGAACTTAACCGCGAGAACAACAAGCTGCCCAACGACGGTGATCATGGACTTCCTATTGGTAATCGCAACCCAA